CAATGGCTTCTCCATCCTGGAATAGCTCAATCTCAATGTCCGCAGCTTGAATGCCAAACCCTCGTCGTTACCAATCCTCAGCCAAGGCAGCGGCAGCCTTCGATCGCTTCTGCGTTGGAAATCAAGTGACTCCAGAGAAGGGGACTTGGAGATCAAGTCCTCGACATCGTCGAGCCAATAATTTGATCCCATCCAGTAGCAAGAGTAGCTTACAATGTAGAGGAACCTGAGGTTCGGAATGTCCTAAGGCACAAACTTATATACCCTAACCACCCTACGTACGAAATGTCCTAAATGCAACTTGTTGGGTCTAGTATTAACCCGCCTAATACGGGCCCAAGCGTCTCACTTTGGGCCCAAGCCCATTCTAGGGTCCAGTACACCGGAAGGCGTCCAGCCCACTCAGGGGCGTCCTTTACCGGAAGGCGTCCCTCACCAGGAGGCGTCCAGCCTACCCGGGGGCGTCCACCACCGGAAGGCGTCCACTCGCCGGAAGGCGTCCATCGACGGGAGGCGTCCAGTCTACCAGGGGCGTCCATGACAACGGGAGGCGTCCACTGGGTGCCTCCGAATCCTATATAAGGAGGCCAGACCCTCCAAGCAAAGGGACTTCTCTCCCTTCCCTCACTTTACCACTTATGATTCTCTCTCTAAACCCTATCTCTCTCTACATTCTCTAGACTCTATCATATATCATATTCTAAATTGACCGTCGGAGTGTAGATCACGGGGGCCGCCCCCCACTCTCCCCAGGATTCTTCCACTCCTAAGAAGATCAGACGAGGGAGTCCGGATCAAGGTTCCATACGAATCCCCCGGTACTAATCGAGGTCAAACATTTTGGCGCCCACCGTGGGGCCGATTTTGGTACTCCTTTCGTTTGATATCTGAAAGAGGGGAAGAAATCAGATCAGGTCGGCAACAACGGTTCTCCCAGCCGCTTGTCAACACCTGCACAACCCGCCAGCATCACCGTTCTTGTCCGGCTTCTCATCTCTACCGGCGTCGGGGTCTCCTTCGCTCCGTTGGCCTCTGCCGCCATACTCCCCAAAAGACTCCCGTCGACGCTACTAATCTGCGCCAAAGAAAAAAAAACAGCGAGCAACCAAAATGAAGCGAATCGCTTTGGTGATTTCCCAGATCCCGGTCAACAGAGATGGATTTGGTCCCGGAGCTCAGGCGAACAGTCACCATCACGGTACTGCCACCATGCCAACCACATATGGCTGTTCACCACAAATCGAGAAGAAGCAACAGCCACAGCTTAGTTGTTTTCTCCTACCGTCAGAAAAAGCTGATCGACTACTTCTCTCTCTTCGTCAGAAAGAGCAGACTGCCACAAAAATCAAGGCACACAAATATCAAGGCAACAGATGCGTCTGAAACGCCTTGGGCAAAGACCGCATCACAAGATGGAAAACGCAAATGGCACTTACCCGCCTTAAAAGATTGGATCGACAAAACAAACAAAGAGAAAGGAAAAGAATGAAGCAGGCGTGAAGCAAAGGCGGCTCACCCAACCTGCTCAACTTTAATAATTGCTAGGGTTTACCCCAGTCCAGCCAAAACGGCCCGCCAACAATGCAATCGCACACCTCACACAGGACCGCCTTCTGTCATGCAACACAGGCCCGCCACATTCATCAAGAGTGGAGCAAGCCTCTGACTACCAGCAAAGCCTGCCTATTAAAATCTAAGCTTGGACCGCCTTCTGTTCCAGACGACCCAGTTGGGCCCGCCTACAAATATCAAGGCAACAGATGCGTCTGAAACGCCTTGGGCGAAGACCGCATCACAAGATGGAAAACGCAAATGGCACTTACCCGCCTTAAAAGATTGGATCGACAAAACAAACAAAGAGAAAGGAAAAGAATGAAGCAGGCGTGAAGCAAAGGCGGCTCACCCAACCTGCTCAACTTTAATAATTGCTAGGGTTTAGCCCAATCCAGCCAAAACGGCCCGCCAACAATGCAATCACACACCTCACACAGGACCGCCTTCTATCATGCAACACAGGCCCGCCACATTCATCAAGCGTGGAGCAAGCCTCTGACTACCAGCAAAGCCTACCTATTAAAATCTAAGCTTGGACCGCCTTCTATTCCATACGACCAAGTTGGGCCCGCCTACCATCGGAGCCCACAATAGCCCACCTTCGCATCAAGGAATACTCTTCAGGAGGCCAAAGCAGGTTCACCTTTACATCAGAGCACGGGTCCACCTCCCCCCTCTCATTGGGCCCGCATTCCGTGATCGGCCACCACATGGCCCACCAACCTTCAAAGCGGTCCAACCTCCCGCACGACGCCTCCGTCTCCAGCTTTCACGGCCCACAATAGCCCACCTTCGCATCAAGGAATACTCTTCAGGAGCCCAAAGGAGATTCCAATCCAGATCGCCTCCCACTAGGCCCGCTTTCGCTTCTAATCCAGCACACCAAACCCGCCTCCAAATCGACACTCAGCTCACCTCCATTCGGCCCGTTCCGTATTCGAAGTCATCCTCCAATGCGGCCCGATACAACCTGCCCCCTCTCATTGGGCCCGCATTCCGTGATCGGCCACCACATGGCCCACCAACCTTCAAAGCGGTCCAACCTCCCGCACGACGCCTCCGTCTCCAGCTTTCACGGCCCACAATAGCCCACCTTCGCATCAAGGAATACTCTTCAGGAGCCCAAAGGAGATTCCAATCCAGATCGCCTCCCACTAGGCCCGCTTTCGCTTCTAATCCAGCACACCAAACCCGCCTCCAAATCGACACTCAGCTCACCTCCATTCGGCCCGTTCCGTATTCGAAGTCATCCTCCAATGCGGCCCGATACAACCTGCCAACCGCACAACAGGTTCACCTTTGCATCAGAGCACGGGTCCACCTCCCCCCTCTCATTGGGCCCGCACTGCATCAAGTCCAATTTGCTTTCGAAGAAAGTCAAAGCCCGCCTCCATTCAGGCCCACAAAGCACAGTTCACATCTCCGCATTCCGTGATCGGCTACAACATGGCCCACCAACCTTCAAAGCGGTCCAACCTCCCGCACGGGCTTTCACAGCCCTCCAAAGGATTACAGGAAGCCGCTCACTAAAAAAGAAAAGTTGGGTGTATCTGTAAAGATTCGAACCCGCGTCCCAACATTTGGAAAGCTTAAGCGCATACCGCTACACTACAAAGCCTCTTTATGAATCTAAACGCAACTCCCAGTATTTATACCATTTCTCTACTGCGTCTCCTATACCGAAGTTCTCCCTTTCAAGATATTATCTTATATCATATTCCATGAGAATAATCATTAAAATCATGCTAGATAAATTATATCTCATATGCCATGTCATGTCATGAAGAGAATCATTTTCACTATGCTATGACATATTTCACGCATGTTATGCTTATGTTTGTGCTCTAAAAATATGGGGCACTAGTCACTCACATCTTTCGCAGATATAAAACCGCATCCCGCTCCCTGAGCAATGCTTCTCCTCTACGTAGAAGCCCGAAACCGCCTCCCAGTAGGCCTGACATCGGTATAGCTAACACGATCCCGCCTCCCAGCAGGTGTGGCATCTTCAAAACACAAACGTCGCCTTGAGTTAAAACTCTCAAGTCGTGGGGGACGCCTCCCTAGCACATAACTAACGCCTAATATTAAGCCAACAACTCACGCTTAACATGCACACAAGCTCATGCCCATCTCGCGGTCCAACAGCTTAACGCATACAGCTCACAGTTACGCCCTACATATTAGCACGCTCGGCAATGGGCTAGTGGGGAAATCTCAAACGACTTGAGAGCTCTAACTCAAGACATCGAATGCTAAACAAAGAAGCAAAGACGATGGCCGCACAAGGGGCAAACCGCATCATTCGGACTCGTGAGGGTCCAATCCACTCGGGGGCGTCAATCACTAGGAGGCGTCCATCACCAAGAGCATCCATCACCAAGCAATGGTCGCACAAGGGGCAAAACCGCATTGCGCGGACTTCCAAGTAAGGCAAGTTAATACACATTAACGCGTTGTTTTACTCCTTCCATTCTTACAGAATACAAGAAGCAAAGGGGCAAATGTTGGGTCTAGTATTAACCCACCTAATACTGGCCCAAGCCCACCACAAAGCGTCTCACCTTGGGCCCAAGCCCATTCTAGGGTCCAGTACACCGAGAGGCGTCCAGCCCACTCAGGGGCGTCCTTTACCCAAAGGCGTCCCTCACCGGGAGGCGTCCAGCCTACCCGGGGGCGTCCACCACCGGAAGGCGTCCAGTCTACCGGGGGCGTCCATGACAACCGGAGGCGCCCACCACCAGGAGGCGTCCACTGGGTGCCTCCGACTCTTATATAAGGAGGCCAGACCCTCCAAGCAAAGGGACTTCTTTCCCTTTCCTCACTTTACCACTTATGGTTCTCTCTCTAAACCCTATCTCTCTCTACATTCTCTACACTCTATCATATATCCTATTCTAACTTGACCGTCGGTGTGTAGATCACGGGGCCGTCCCCGATTCTCCACAGGATTCTTCCACTCCCAAGGAGATCAGACGAGGGAGTCCGGATCAAGGTTCCACACAAATCCCCTGGTACTAATCGGGGTCAAACACAACTCATTCAGCATAATAACAAAAAAAATCAGAAGAAGCTCCAAAGATCACAAGGATTTTACTAGTTCGATGCTTTAATTAATGCAATCCCCTCTATCGGTGATTCATTTCGCAATTAACCTTTCGACTACAAAGGCGAATCAGTACGGGATAGCATTGATACAGACACCATCGACCTTGTTTTCGCATAAACTAAACCACCGAACTAAGCGAATTGGTTTTCTAGAATGTAACAGTTGATTCATTCAATGAGAAGTTCTAAACATCGTTGAGCCGCTCGCTCGGTGATTCGTTTCGCAATTAACCTTTCGACTACAAAGGCGAATCAGTAGGGGATTGCATTGATACAGACACCATCGACCTTGTTTTCGCATAAACTAAACCACCGAACTAAGCGAATTGGTTTTCTAGAATGTAACAGTTGATTCATTCAATGAGAAGTCCTAAACATCGTTGAGCCGGAAAAAAAAAACTTTTTGAAAATAAGAAATCAGATTGAGAAAGGTTTGTTCTCGTTAACATATATGTAAGGTTCAATATGGGGAAGAAGAATATGACAGACGATCCATCTATACTTCCAACTCAGACAATTTTTTGACGAGGACTTCCAACTGATATAATTAGAGTTAACATAATTACAGTCCACAGTGTGTTGATCATTTTGGAACTAGCCATGCTAACAACACCTTTATTGAATGTGCAGTAGGTACTAACCATGTCTTGTGAAGCAAGTTAACTTGACAAAGCTGCCCATCCAATACACGGTTGCAAGATGCGCCATAGCTATGCTTCCATTGCAATCTGCCTAACTAATTCTTCTGTCTCACGGTACAAAATCAGCCTTCCAATGTAGGAAACGCCGAAGTGACATCCTGGATAGCCACAAGCTCAGCGCGACCTCCATATTCTTCTGGCATTGTCTCTTCCCCGACTTCCCTCACGAAAACTCTCGCCTCTTCATCGTTGGTAACTATCATTATCTGCATCAATCATCCATTCGTTCAATAGATATATACCGAACATAAAAGGATCTTGGAACAGCTACATCATGGTAAGTACTAGAGGTGTCAAACGAGTTGGATTTGTGGTTGGCGAGTTCATCAGTTGGTGGGTTGGGTTTAGTGCAGTAAAATGTAAGGCACAAAAGTTTTACCACATGAAAATTTCTAGAACACATTAGCCAAACCCTTTGCCCGCTACAGCGCAGTGAGTTTCCCACATTACCTTCTCTAATGTCGCCTTCTCAAGGCATCGCGACACTATCCTCCATACGCTTACAAAGAATCGTGGCATGTTTAAGATGTACAGCTTGTGCAAGCGCTCTGGGTAGTAAGCCTGCACAAAAGAAACCAAGGCACTAAATCTAAGTTCAAGTGTCTCTCTAAGCCTAAGGGGCTGGCGCACGCATATGTAGGCATTTTTGGTTGAGGCTAAAACGGTAGGCGGCTAAAACCTTACCTGCAAAAATTGGAAGCCAGTGATTAACCCACGGGCATCCACATTCTTATATCCAATTTGCTGCAGGTCCAAGATGGCCATCAACTTCTCATTTCCGACTTCCCTTGCTTTGATTGAGCTGAATAAAGGACGATAGAGAATTCGTTACGAAATGCTTGAAACTTTATTGCCACTTAGCCATCTAAAGTATTAGTGTTAAACAGAAATAACAGCAGCCGGAACACAGAGCAACATGAGATGGAAAGATCATTCAGAAGACCATTCTAACATGAAACTGTAGAGCACCACAAATCCTGATTATCGACTGAGGTACGAATGTGATTCCGGGTCGATTCTAGTAGTTTCAGCCCTAACCCCCCTTCGGGGGTATGCACTACAAACAACTCGTCCAACATCTAAATTAAGTGGTACCTGGCTAAAGCTTTGTCCAGCAGATGAACAACAAACTCTGCATCAAAAGACGAAAGATGATATAATCAGGTTATTGATCATTGGAAGTCAAACTAGCATACTGGGATACTAACCCAGTTCAGTCAATGTAGTTCAATAGTTTCCTTTGAAAAGAAGCTAAGATCCTGTTTTACGGTGGCACTCCTTGTTTACAAACCAACCTCCTACAGTCATTTTCAGTTGAACCTAAGTTGTAATAACCAAACACAACTACCCACTGCCATACAACATGGTGCATCTAGTTGGGGTAAAGTGAAAAGGAGCATAACAATGCAGAGGGTAGCTTTTCTAATGTTTAAGCCAAGTGAAAAGATTTGAGATAGTTTCAGATATCATAAAGGTTGTCCTGACCACCACTTCTAATACGAAGAACCGAAAGCAATATGAAGCAATGCAGAAAATACTGTCAAACATGAACATGAAGAACATTCATCAGAGATAGTCTCACAAGCCAAACGGATCTCTTCAAGTCCCATAGTTGACCACATACACAATGGTTGTCAGGACAAACAAACCAGACAAAATCAAAGGAATCTTCTCATTGACCTCAGATCAGAAACATGAAAAGGGAAATTAAGACGCTATAAAGCTACCAAGCCAACAGGGAAATGGTGCTAAACAAATATAATTTATCTGGTTCCACGTTTATGAAAACTATAACTTACTCTAAAAAAGGAGTATAGTATAGTTAATTCCGATGAATCATATCCCTTCGTACTAAACAAAAAAATTCGGTCAAACAAGACAACTCATCTGATCCCAGCCTGGAAAGTAGGACGTTTATCACAAGTTATGTTCATATGCTGTTCCCTCAATCCACAATCCCTAAGATCACTGATACTCTAAAGCCTATCTAACAACGCAACTCAAAATAAGAACTTGGAGTCGGATTTACGATGTCAAAGACAGAAACTTGAATCCATGAAATCATCAATTTTACCAAGGGAAAAGAAATGGGCGCAGTGAAGTTTACTTACTCTTGAATTGAAGCTGATCTTTAGATGGGTAATGCTTGCTTGCTTTGACAATCACAAGTGGGTATCCCTCTGTTGATAACCCCTGTAAGAAAACCTTCTTACCGACCAATTCATCAGGGACTTCGGAATCTGATATAACCCCATTTGGAACAAAAGATGCCCTCCATTTCTGCCACTGAACAAACATCTTTGCAGCCTTGTCGGCGTCCATTGACCTTGCAATCAGGAACCTCATCAAGGTTGGGTCTTTGTATTTCTGCACAGCATTAGAAAGAGGGTCATGAAAAGTGACGGAACAAAACATACTCCATTTCTATAAATTAGCTGGTCAAAAGGGGGGAAAGAAAAAAACAGAGAGACCCAAGAAGAGGAAGCAGAAGAAGATGCAGTGAACTAGCAGGAAAAGTAACCTCAGTTGAAGAACCAAGCTTCTCCACCGATTTCCTCATCTGGGCAATCGCCATTTCGCTTGCATTCTCCATTTTGGGGTCCAAGTGAAAGGAATGGTAATGGTAGACAGAAGGAAGTCCAGGGCTTGGCTGGCTTGCTTGGACTTTTTAGTAAAGGAGGTTCCAATAAATGGATTTCAGAGCGTAGGCGTATTGATCATTGACCACACTCTAAGGAAAATCTATCTCTCGAATTGCTTCAGAGATCAAAGCTCGAAGTTTCCTCCCACGAGGCAGAGAGAAAGAGACGGAGAGAAAGGAGGGAAGAATCAATAATGAGGGCTTCAAATTTACTGTAGAGACCCTGGCGGTGGACTAACTAAAACCAAACAAATATGGGGTTAGGAAGTGTCGATGTGTTGAAGACCACAAGAAGAGTACAAAAGAGCCGAACAGGGCATCTCAAGTGCTTATGACTCAAAATGTTCTCTTCTCTATATTCTTTATTTCCTTACCTTTTAATTAATTTTCTAAATGCTTTGTTTTTTTAATTTTGTTTTTGTTCCGAGAAGAATTATGACACTTCATGGAAATTTCATATCAACAAAATACGAGAGAGATTCATGATTTATAAGTAAGAATTCGTCATTAACTGACAAGATGAGTTTTTTGGTGAAATAAAAAAGCTTTTGTAGGAACTCCCTGGTGAAACGTGCTCATTGTGGAGTACAACAATGATGATCTTATGCGAAGTCATATCGAATTGCAAGAACTCGCAACATCCAAATTCGCAATTTGAAAAAAGCGACACTTTCAAGCGCGGCCCTCTACGGATCTTGATTTCAAGAGCTCGTGATATACACAATACGAGACAGTGTCACTTACGTACTAAAGAGAACTAACTTATCAGTGACTCAATCAGATTCCGTAATCCTAAATTTCCTTGTTGGATTTCTAACAATAATGCTAAAATAGGTCCAAATATCGAAACTTTTTGGCATGGTCTAAGTAGTAGCAAATTTCGTGGCGAGACAACAATAGGAACGACTTTCCTTTAGGCTAGAGCTTGAACAAAGCGTCACATCTCATTCTCAATGCCTTCTTAATCCAACCCTGTCCATGCTTGACGACAGACACTTATTAGAGATGTGGTTTAATCCAACACACCATTATTGCTCACAAAGCAAAGTAAAACACTCTTAAAAGAAAAGAAAAAAAAAACGAACAGATCCAAACCACCAGCTGACATTTATTGCTCGAATTGTACGCACTATGCAGAATGCTCCACGTGGCATTTAGGATAATTTTTTTTAAAATTAACTAATAAAATAATAATAAACCCCCCACCTTCCTTCCAGTAGTTTCCTGTTTTCACAGGCGCTTCTCTCGACTCTCATTAGTCATTACTCCACTGCTGCAGTGCCGGGCTGGCTGCCTCTCTCTCTTTTCGGCAGAATCTCTGAAAGACGCTTCGGATCCATTCGCTCTATCCTCGCCCCGTTCTCCGCAAAGGTAATATCCAGGTTTCCCCGGTCCTTGTTCCTATCTCCGATTTCTGTCCACTCGATCATTTTGATGGCAATCTCTGATGCTTCGTATTCGTTTGGGGGAACGAAGCAGGTGCAGTTTGTCACTCTTTGATTTGCTGTTTTTACGTTGCCTGTGATTTGGGTTGTCGGTGAATTTCCCCCTTTTGCTGGACTTCGATTTAGAAGCGAGATGTTGAATTCCTGGGTTTTGATTCTTGATCCAAGGATCTTGCTCCATGCGTGACTTGTCTCCACGGGAGTTTTCTTTGAAAGCTTATAACGATTGGATTGCCTTCAGTTCCTTCTCGTTGGATTTCAATTTGTTTCTGTGGGTTTTTTGTACCTTTTTAGTTGAATTTGCTGCAGTGATTGTTTTTGAGGATCTTTCATTGGCCGAAAATCGAGATCGTCTTAAGAGTCGATTTGGTGAATTAGAGGATTCGAGGGAGAAAGGTTGGGGCATGGTTGTCTTTTGTTTGTATTGGTGTTACGGCAATTGGATGGATCTCTTTATTGGTTGAAGTCGGTTATGGCTTGGTTTCCATGTACAGCTCCAGTCAGCTTGTTGAATGTTGATTTCATAAGAGGAATGGGCAGGCATAAATAGAACTGAGCTGTCGTTGAAAGGTTTGAAAGTTGATCGGTTACTTGTATGGTTTTCCTTGTTTGACTAGTCAGCAATTGTACCTCTTTTCTTCTTGTGCACTGGACAAACATGCCCAACTTCGAGTAGTCGAAGCGTAAGTGCTTGGAAACTGAGAAGCAGTCAACTACTGAATGCTGTGATTACTTTAGTCCAGTGTTCTTCTTGTGTCCGATTTGTTTTTTCTTAGTTCCTTTTTATGAACTTTCTTCATTTGCTCTTGTATTCGTAATGCATACCTTCTTAATGCCCATTTTACGGATAAATAGGAAGAAACACTAGAAATATTCTTGTTTTGTTTGTGTTACGTATAAGTCAAACAATCTGGGAACTGTTATTGCATTGTGCAAAAAAAATCCTTGGATGTCCGGCTCCCATCTGGAAGCATTGCTTATTCTTTTTTGCTACAAGTTAACTGTTTTTCCCCATTTGATTTCACATATGAAAACTAGTGAGAAGAAGAGATAATGTCAAGCAGTAGAAACACCCACTGGTGCTACAGATGCAGGAGAACAGTTCATTTGAGGGGGCGAGATGCAGTTTGTCCGTACTGCAGTGGCGGATTTGTCCAAGAACTGGATGAAATGGGTCAAGTCGGCCCTCTGGATTACTTCGGACACGGTAGTGATTTTGGTCACGACCAGAGTTCCGGACTCATGGATGCCTTTTTTGCCCTTATGAGGCAAAGAATAGACGAACAGGATCGTAGCCATGGAATGAGGCCTAGGTCATCGGATCCAGTTCCTGAACATGGTCCTGGGTTCAGTCCCCTGCTCATTTTCGGTGGCCAACTCCCCGTTCGGCTATCAGGGAATGGCGGGTTGGACACGCTTTTCCCTGGAGCCCCAGGAATCGAGGTCACAAGGGGCAACGGTGGTGATTATTTCATCGGTCCCGGTCTCGAAGAATTGTTCGAGCACCTCTCCACAAATGTCAGGCGTGGGCCAGGGCCAGCACCAGCAGCTCGATCATCGATCGATGCAATGCCTACAGTCAAGATAACTCAAAGGCACCTTCGGGGGTCAGATTCTCACTGTCCAGTGTGCAAGGATCAGTTCGAACTTGGATCCGAAGCAAGGCAAATGCCTTGTAACCATTTATATCACTCTGACTGCATAGTTCCCTGGCTCGTACAGCATAACTCGTGCCCTGTTTGCCGCCAGGAGCTTCCTTTGCAGGGTGCGAGTGGTGGCCACGGTCATCCTGGCTCATCAAGTTCAAGAAGTAGGACGAGTGGCAGAGAAGGAAGGAGGAGCCTTTTCTCTTCTTTCTGGCCATTCCGCACTTCTCGTACCAGCTATCACCTTAGCTATGAATGAAAACACTCATCAGCAGATGGGTCATTCAGGATGGCCTTTTGACTAGGATGTGTTAGCGTGTGCTTTTGGATTCGTATGCTTCCTTTTCTTATTTGTAATCGAAACTGGAAAATCTACCATCCATATGCAGCATAACTTGGTTGCTTGGGTTTGGGAAGATTGGAAGTCCCTGTGAGTTGTTGTCCATAAGTGTTTGAAAGGTCCTTCGTTACTCTTATGTGCCTACCCTAATTAAAGGGTTAATTGCATGGTTGGTCATTGAGATTACAAAAAAACATTCACGTTTGGTCATTGAAAATATTTAAATCTAATCTTAGTCACTCAAATTATTTAAATGGTTCAAGTTTGGTCACTTTCCGTCCATTTCCGTTAACTCTAACTTACGTGGCAGTCAACTTTCATAGTTGACCATTAAATATGTGACGTGGCAATTAAAAAATTATTAAAAATAAAAAAATAATCTTTTATATTTTCCACTTCATTATTACATTAATTAAAAACAAAAAATATATATATTTGAAAATCCCAGCAGCAGATCGACGAATCCACCCTCCTGAATCTCTTCAAAGCCCAGCAGAACCATCTCAATTACTTCTTCCGCCACCTCGATCTCTCGCAGGCGCTCTCCTTCGCCCACACCCTCCTCAACTCCTCCGGCACCATCTTTTTCTCCGGCGTCGGCAAGTCCGGCTTCGTCGCCAACAAGATCTCGCAGACCCTCGTCTCCCTCGGCATCCGCGCTTCCTTCCTCCATCCCGTCGACGCCCTCCACGGCGACATCGGCGCCCTCTCCTCCCTCGACGTCCTCGTCCTCTTCAGCAAGTCTGGTAACACCGACGAGCTCCTCCGCCTGGTCCACGGCGGCGGGGTTGTCACACCAGTTTCAGCACGCTCCTCCGCCGCGAGGGTTGGTGGACGAATTACGAGATCGGGTTCGGGAAAGGGAGGATCTGCGCGGGGATTGGGTGCAGGGGTGGGAAATTTTGGTGCTTGTTCGATACAGGGGAAGTTTTGATCTTCGAAATTGACGGCTGCGACGATGGATTTTCCCCACTGCGACACGAACCCACCCACCGCCGGGTGGGCCAGAATCGCAGCCTGCGGCGCCCACCCGATGATTTTCCCCACTCCGGCCGTCCTCTCCAGAAACCCTTCCGGCAGGATCTCGGCCGGGTTCTCGTAGTCCAGGGAAAACGAGACCACGCCTTTCGGAGGTGGGCGGCGTAAGGACCAGAGGAACCTGAACCCAGTATTTTCGAGGGCTTTGGCGATTTCCTTCACTTGGGTTTCGTTGAAGCAACCGTTACTTCCGAAGCAGAGGAAGAAAACAGAGGAAGGCGGTTGTTCGTTGAGGAGCGAGTTCAGAGAGGACTCAGCGAGAGCTTCTGGTTGGTCGCGGTGGAGAGAGAAACAACGGTGGCATCTGAGGCCGCAGAGGAATTGGAGGTTGCGCCGGCGTCGTTGGAGGAAGGGGCCGGCTTGAGGAGAGTGGTTTTGGTGCTGGACCAGCTGGGGAAATATTTTTTTTATTTTTTAATTATTGTAATAATGAGGTGGAAAATGTAAAAGATTATTTTTTTATTTTTAATAATTTTTTAATTTTCACGTCACATATTTAACGGTCAACTATGAAAGTTGACTGCCACGTAAGCTAGAGTTAACGGAAATGGACGGAGAGTGACCAAACTTGAACCATTTAAATAATTTGAGTGACCAAGATTGGATTTAAATATTTCCAGTGACCAAACGTGAACGTTTTTTGTAATCTCAGTGACCAACCATGCAATTAACCCGCTAATTAAATGACTTTTACTTTTACCATGCTTAATGCTGCTTTCCATCGCATGTCTTCACAGGACGATCTAGGCACAAAGTTTAGCATATTAGTTGGGAAGAGATTTTCTCCTTCGTGTATCACTAAAGCAGAAAAAATAGAACCAAGACATGTATCTTGAGATTATTCATTCCTCAATAAAATTCAATATTAGTGGGTTTCACATTTTTAAATATTTCGTTAAGCTTATGGATCGGTACAAACAATTTGTACCACCGGTTATATCATTTCACTGACTAAATTGAAACAATATTATAAATCAGTTTGACAACGGTTGTGCTAAGTGGGATTGCCACCTAAACCTAGCAATTTTGCTATGGTACACACACCCAGATCTGTGTGCACCAGCTCGCAGCGCAGGGGGGAGGCCACGTCGCCCAAGCCATCAACGGAGGGCCAGGATTGAGCGGTTGGGGGAAGGGCTCAGGGAAGGAGACGAGGCGCGCTTGAGCTATGGGGAAGCCGAGCTAAAGGTACTGGGTAGGGCTGAGGAGTGAGAGCTGGGTGGGGTCTGGGCACAATTTTTTGGTTGTTTTGGCGGGATTTAGCTCGAAAAATCCAGCCCCAAAATTGGCTTCATTAATTCCACCTACCTACCAACCTCTCTCCTCCCCCCCCCCCCCAACTCACAGCTCTCTTCTTCCTCATCTTTTCTCTTCGTTTGCCTTGTCGCCATTGAAGACGAGAATCCAGAGTCACCAGAAAAACGCAGGAAGGGAAGGTCTGATGCAAGATCGATCCTTCGAAGAGAAGAAGGAGATGCAAGGAAGGGAATATAGTTTGTCGAAGATGGGGGATGATGTCGAAGGAGATGCCGCACCAAAAGAGGAGGTCCACCTTGAAGATCTGTCGACTAAAAACAATAAAGGTGATGTCGAAGGAGACAAACCAGAAGAGGTGGATCTTGCAGATACCATCCTCAAAGCGGATGGTTCATCTGATGGTTTGTGGGGCTCGCAAGAGTGGATGGCCGCAATTGATGAAATAGAAGGGGTATGTGAAGACCAAAAAAATATATCAAATCCATTTAGACTTATATATGTTTTGGTTGTTGATCAGCATTGAATGTGTTAGGTGTGTTAGGGTTTACATTTATGGTGTTTGCATTTATTATGTTTTAGGGTTTCTTGCATGGTGTTCTGTGCTTGCATGAATACTTGGTCGTTCTATCCTGAATATCCCTGGTGGAGGAATAGAAACATGACTATCGCTTGCATGAATACTAGTTAGCCCTAATGTCCATATTACTTTTTAAATTTCATGAATATTACTTTTACGTCATCGAATATTAGTTGGTACATATTCATCTTCAATATGCATCTTCAAAAGAATATTGAAGATGAATACGCTTCATCTTTATAAGAATATTTGTTCACCTTCTAATGACTACAAATTCATCTTCAAAAGAATATTCATTGACCTTTGATGAATATTACCTTTTAAAGAATATTTGTTTACATTCAAATTAATACGCCTTCATCTTTAAAAGAATATTCGTTGACATTCTAAGGAATATTCGTTGACATTCGAACTCATATTCAGACCATGCAGACTCATATTCATAAAACCAAGAGTCATATTCACAAATAATTAGGGGAGGTCGAACCCAAAATAATTACACCTCCATACATGACCTGCACCCCTAAAATAATTACCCAAAAATAATGACTCAACCTGATTAGAACACCTAATTAGGGGAGGTCAAACCCAAAATAATTACACCTCCATACATGACCTGCACCCCAAAAATAATTTCCCACTGTCCCCCATAAATAATTACCCACAAATGTTTGTTTTTAGTACTTAGTTAGCAGGCTACCAACACTCACATATTCTGTCTCTTACTACCTCCATCTTGCCCCTCCTTCCACTCTTTCACCCACTCCAGTATATCATCCCTCCTCAAATTCTTATCCCACAAAACCAGCCTCGTAGCAAGCAGTGCACGTTGCAGCTCAACGTGCTCTTGGGTTCGCCAAATGATTTTGTATGCAGCATCCAAGTGGCCTTCCCAATGGTCCATGTATTGGCAAGCGAATACCCCATAGTCGTCATTACCATTTTGTTGTGGTACGTCTGCAACATTGAACACCCATTCACTCAAGGGCGACTCCAGAAATACGCCCTTTCTCTCTAGCAATGTTTGCACATAGTTGAACAAGTAATTCCTCGCCCCCAGTCCACGAACATTCTTGGCATAAATTTCTGAAGGCTTCATGCTGTCCAATAAGAACGTTTGTTGCTTGATGAAGTCCCCAGCATAAACCAGGTAGTGGTCGTCGTCATATTTGGGAAAGAACATCTGTTACATTATAATAAAGCCCGATTTAGTATTCAGCATAAGAACAAGTAATATTCATAAAACCCATAATAGTATTAGAATTACCCAGACTCATATTCTAACCCATAAATAGTTCACTCACATAATTGCATCCTTTAAAGTCGGCAGTTTCAAATACTAGATCTCGATCAAGTGTGGCAAATGCCTCATTCAGGAGACTTGAAGTTATTGTTGCCCCACTCTTAAAATTTGCAGTTGCCTTGTCCTGTGATTGCATTGAAAACAAGAACTTGTTAAGAAATTGAAGAGCATGGTTATTCATGACATGCATTGAAAGTCTAATTTTACTTACAGCAAAAACCATAGGGAAGATGCATTTTGTCAGCTTCCCATTCTTCGTGACATTCAGGTCGTTGAGGTAGTATCCAAATGCCTCAACAATGACACGATTCAGCCATGCAGTACGTTTCAAACTCAGCAAATGAAACCGGCACACCTTGGACTTCGCAGTCTCCACAAATTCCGTAGAACTGTAAAAAGGACAAAGTATTTAACACACTTTTATGAAAACGCACGTGTAAATAATAAAATGAATATTGTTTGGATAACACTTGAATACTTACTCGTCCTCATCACTCGTACTAAGTGAGAACTCAACTATCGCCTTTTGCAAAGGGTCCAACTTGCAAGTAACAGTGTTGGAGAGGACATAGCCGGATAATACTTCTAGCTTTCTCTTCGACCTCTCGAAGCGCGGAGTTTTCATGTCCGTTCTCTTCCATTGTATGGTCGTAAGCTCCCCCTCGTTGCCTTCAATAACCACCTCCAGCGTTGGTGCTGAAGAAGCGGTACTTGGAACAAGTTTTCTTCGCTGGTAAGTAATTGGAGCCGACACGGGCACCGGAGTGGCCTTCTCCACGGACACCGGAGTAGGCTTCTCCACAGACATCGGAGTGGGCGTCTCCACAGACGCCAGAGTGGCCTTCTCCACGGACGTCGGAGTGGCCTTCTCGATAGACGCCTGAGTGGGCGTCTCCCCGGACACCAGAGTCGGCTCAACAAAGGGTGAAGGAACCTCCTCCGTCGTCGGCTCCTCAATATCCTGCTCAGATGGCTTGTTCTTCTCAGCCTTTTTCTCAAGTATGTGGCCAATTTGTGTGGTCAACTCTAGCCATCCTTTCCCCTCATTCAGACACACACTACGACAAACCCTTAGCTAGAAAAAGATAGAAAATAGGTATTTAGGTCATTGATAACACACTTTATTCAATCTCATCCAAATAGTACTAAAAAAGCATCAAAATAGTATTCAAACAAGAACGCTAAACATTCGTCCATCATCCTAACAAAGTACATGGAAATAGTATTCAACGTATAGGGAAATAGTATTCAAATTATTCAAACTACCCAAATCTCAACATCTATTACATCCAATTTCATGAAAGCTACTCATTCCTCTCCACATTGGGGCTCCAAGTTTTCCAATCTTGCAAGCAGTGCCTTCCACTTATTGAACATGGACTCAGTCATGCACTTCAACACCTTAAGCTACAAGTATGTGTAAATTTTTTTAGTTCATGCAATCTACCTTACTCTAGTATGTTCGATAAAAAAGTTAAACGTACCTGATATTCATCCATGCGTTCCAAGTTGTCATTTTCCCACCAAGAAGAGTTGTAAAATTCAGGAGCATCAGGAGAAGATGGAGCATGTGTGCTGCTTTGCCCTTTATCTTCAACAGAACCACCAAACCTCTGTCGAACTTCTGGTCTTGTCATCAACAAACCTGCTATCCCACCACTGCCCATGGTATGGATGGCTTCAACAACCTTCATTTAACGATCCTTGAACCAGTAGCTACAGGTTGGGGTGATGAAGGTCCCAACACCTTTGACCTTCAAAAAATCCAACAAATGGACCTGCCAGTCAAATAAGAGGAAGATGGTAGATTGGTGAGAAAAAAAGAATTTAAATGGCGAGACAAGATTAAAGTGATATTCAAACAAATCAGACACATATTCATAGAACACACACAGTAGTATTCATATCAGATTGAATTGATATTCAAATAACAAAGTCTATTCAGAAGATATTGACTCATATTCAAATAACCCATACTCATATTCAAACTAGGGGTGCTAAACGGTCGGTAATCAGTTTAACCGGTTTCCGGTATACCGGAATTTCCCAAACAACTGTCGTGACCCGTTACCGAAAAGAATCGGTATGCCGATTACCGAATGCTACGGTTTCGGTATTGAGTCCGGTTTCCCGAATTCTGGCAGCGGCAGGCTGTTGCTTGCTAATGGCTTGCCGCGGGCGAAAATTAATTAGCGCCAGACGCCAGTTTCTCAATTCAAATGGAAGGCCATCATCATTATTCTTAATTCTTATTCCTCTTGTCTGCTAGTGGAAGGAAATAAAAATATAGTGTAATGCACTAATGCCATCATGAAATTCACTTCACTGCTTCGCTGCTAGGCTACGACCTAGGAGTCTACGAGGCTAGTGAAAACATTACAATATATTATATATAGGCAAAATACACTGGCATAGCCACAACTTTCCACTTTGTGCCAACAATAGCCAAATTTTGAAAAATACAGAGAAATAGCCAATACGTCTAATACTTTAACGGACGAACTTGAACTGCTGACTAGGCTAACGGTTCTCGCTGATGTGGCACGTCTCCAACTCTATTGTTGCCAGATGGAATTGATTTTTTTTAATTTTTTTTATTTAAAAAATATAAAAATCAAAAAGGCCCCTCCTAGTCGATCTAACCCTACCAATTTCAGTTTCCACCCGACGAAACCCGTTCCCTTCTTTCCGATCCCATTCTTTCCAATCGACGGCCCACTACCGTTGACGGAGACGATTTGGTGCGGCCTCCGGCGACTGCTGCCTGTCGCGCGTCCTTTCCACTTCCGCTCATCTGGGCGACTTTGTTCCCAAATCCAGCATGCATCTCGACGGCGGATAAAACCAACGCCGCCGACCCGACTTCCTTCTTCCTCCTAGCACGAGTGGGTGAAGGGAGAGACTTCGACAACGGCAACGCCCTACTAGCAGCGGTGAAGAAGACGATTGGCGGAAAACCCTAGCTCAGATTCTGCAGCTCGAGAAGAAGGGAAACTCGATTATTGTCGGACTGGTTCATTCTCCCTTCTCAGATTCTGCAGCTCGAGGGAGAAGGCGTCGTCGGGGAAGAGACGTCGGCGGAGATGTCGAGGAAGAGGGGTGTCGTCGGGGGGAGAGAAGTCGGGGGAGTGAGGCGTTTTCTGGGGAGAAACGTCGGAGGAGAAGGCGTCGTCGGGGGAGAGGTTGAGGAAGAGGGTCGTCGTCGGGGGAAGATTCATCGGGGGAGAGGTCGAGGAAGAGGAAATCGCGGAGCAGCGGCGGCGACGGAAACCTAGGGTAAAGAGGGGAAAGTAGAATGGTGATAAGGGGTTCGCAGCAGAGGTGAGTTTAGGGATTTTAATAGGGAAAATGTTTATTTTTTAATTTTAGATAATGACGTGTTAAATAGGTGGCAATAGTTCGTCTACGTGGCAAATAGGTGTAGGACATGTGGCGGCCACGTAAGCATACCAACGACTAAACTGACGGAGAGGTTAAAGGCGTTAAATCATTTAACGGTAATGGCTAGATTGTGCAAATAAGTTTCAAAAACGCGGCTATTTCTCTGTATTTTTCAAAATTTGGCTATTGTTGGCACAAAGTGGAAAGTTGTGGCTATGCTAGTGTATTTTGCCTTATATATATGTCAATAACACAAAATAGACAAACTCCCTTCACTGCTTCTCTCGGCTACGCCTACGACCCTACACGACAAATACTGAACATAAATACATATACATTAACATTATACACAAGAACAACTCGGCTCGGCTATACCCATGATTAATTGATTATGAAACAAACAATTATGAAACTGAAGTCTGAAAGAATGATACTCGGCTACACAACTTACCTCTCAAATCGACGGAGAGCTAGAGAGGACGAGCTGCTTGGCTGTGCGGTCGATAGTGGTCGAGCGATTAAGGTCCGACGGCACCGGGATTCGACGGAAACAAAGCAACGGCGAGGGGCTTGACGGAACAGAGCTTGGCGGAGAGGATGATTGGATGAGGGATGCTAGGTCGTGTCTCTCGGCCCTTGGATGGAGCTTGCGCCAGCAGGCAGCGAGCCAGCGATGGAGACGACTACTGGATACGATGAATAGAGGACGGAGGAGGATTGGCGGACGGCGATTGTGCTCGTGCAGCAGTCAGGGGAAAGACTCTTTCCAAAAGAACAATGCAAATAGAATAATAGATAGTTGGATGTCTAAATCTAATTACGTAGGGCTTTTTGGGTGGCCGGCATTTGGTTTATTGCTAAAAATCCTAGTCGTTGACGGCTTCATTGCCTATTCCCATTCGGTGTCGGAAATACCGATCGGCCAAAAGTATTTTACACTTCGGATCTCGGTATACATCTAGCCACTATTTCTCAGCCGATTACCGTTTGCTTCGGTTATCGGTACGTTTATCGGTTAAACTATTAATCGCATTACCGTTAAGCACCCCTAATTCAAACACATACGAACACATATTCAATATCATTCGAACTCATATTCAAATAAACATATTCAAAAACATTCTAACTAACATACACTAGAATCAAGTACATTCGAACTCATATATTGAAACACATTCAAAGTAATATTCAAATAACCCAGACTCATATTCAGAAAATTCAGAGTCATATTCAAATAACATACACTCAATATAATCAAGCATATTCGCACTCATATTCAAACACATTCAAAGTATTATTCAAGCAGGTTAAACTAATATTCAAAACATAAATGAAAGAACAAATACTTAAAACTTACAATGAGGAAGTGAACATCTCCATGGACCCAGTCAAGAAATTCCTTTCCTTGAACTGCAGCAAGGCTACTCTTCAGTTTACCTACAACAAGGTCGGACCAGTTGTAGCTTTTTACCCACTCAATCTTCCCAACAAGGAACTCCGCATAATCAAGTTCACAAATCCGTGACCATGATGGTCGGAGAAGCGAGGCAAGGGCAAGCAGGATGAACTGCTTGACGACCTTACGAACAGGAGGCCTAGCATTCTCATCCGTTAACTTGTCCACCATATCACTCAGAGGAAAATTCCGGCACCTGTTTCCTCCCAACCCAATCTCGGCTTGAAAAGCCGACAGCTTGGTTTTGTCTAGGCACTTCTCCAACACTATTTCTTCCCCAACGTGAGGAAGGCCATAAACACGAGCCACGTCCTCGTCCTCTAAGGACAGCACCTTCCTATTCTCTCCCTCTCCGAAAATGAAGCTGCCGGAAACAGCATCGTAGTGTCGTGCCATTGCACACAGCAGAAAATTATCGATGCCGCGCAAGCGTATCTCCAGCAATCCATCAAACCCTGCTTTCTTAAGCTCCTTCTCGCATTCCTCATAGTAGGCTTCATCCTTCTTCCAAAATTCAATCACACTCAACAATGAAGATGTGTGACATCGATGCTGCGTTTCATGTGGTTTCTTGGTCTTGCCTTTCCCAGCAGCCTTCCCCCCCCCCCCCCATCTTTCCCAGTAGACTTCCCCCCATCTTTCCCAGCAGACTTGCCCACAGCAGCTTTCCCAGCGGACTTCCCACAACAACTTTGCCAACAAACTTTCCCCCAGCTTTCGCAGAAGACTTTCCCTCAGACTTCTTCCCAGAAGCCTTCCCCCTAGACTTCCCAACATGAGTCTCACCAGACTTCCCTGTAGAGGTCTCACCAGACGTCCCACCAGCAAACTTAACTCTTTTTGTTGCAACCTGATCTTCTGGACCAAGAGGAACATCTTCAGCAGTAGGAGGAGGAACATCTTCAGCAGCTTTCCCCGCAGCAGCATTCGCATAAGACTTTCCCTCAAACTTCTTCCCAGAAGACTTCCCCCTAGACTTCCCAACAGAAGTCTCACCAGACTTCCCTGTAGAGGTCTCACCAGACGTCCCAGCAACAAACTTAACTCTTTTTGCTGCAACCTGATCTTCTGGACCAAGAGGAACATCTTCAGCATTAGGAGGAGGAACATCTTCAGCAGCTTTCCCCGCAGCAGCATTCCCAGAAGACTCCCCACCAAACTTCCCAGCAGAAGGGGGATCTATTAAGGGCCGTTGTCGTTTCATAGCAGGAGGAACATCTTCAGACGCAGTAGGAACATCTTCAGCAGGAGGAGGAACATCTTCAGCAACAGGAGGAGAATCTACTAACGGTCGTTTCATAGGTCGAGGAACACGCTTCTTGGTTTGCACCATTATTCCAAACCTGTAGACCAAAAACACATGTATTCAAAAAAGGGGGAAACACAACACAATGAAGAGAACTAATATTCAGAAATTTCAACATACAGTATTAATCTAGCTGCAGACAAACAATTTCAATCAAGACAACTAATATTCAAAATCAGAAGAACTAGTATTCGCCAAAAACTCAGTCAACATTATACAACTAATATTCAAAACCAGAATAACTAATATTCGCCAACAACACATGCAACATTATACAACTAATATTCAAAATCAGAAGAACTAGTATTCGTCAACAACACAGTCAACATTATACAACAATACTCAAATCAGAAGAACTAGTATTCGTCAACACAGTCAACATTATACAACTAATACTCAAAATCAGAAGAACTAGTATTCGTCAACAACACAGTCAACATTATATAACTAATTTTCAAACCAAAAATCACTAGTATTCGATAGATTGAAGGTTACGGTAACAACTACTATTGGATTCAACCATATTTACAGATTCTAAGCAAGAACCCAAA